ACATATAGGAGCTTTACTATTATGCCTATCAGTAGTTATCACAAAGCCACAGAGTTGCAAGTTTCAACATTTTTAGTGTAATTTTTAATTGTCTCCTCTACTGGCTGAATTAATTCACAGCTCTCCCAACAATGCATTTTCATTATCTGTAATCTTTACAAATCTGAAGGACGTGATGTGAAACCTCAGAGTTATCTTAATTTACATTTCTCCTTTTATTGTGATTTGGACCATTCTTTGGTTGTGTACAGCTTACATCTCCATTTTGGAAAAGTTTCTGTTCACAGTCTTTGATCATTTAACTATTAGGGAATGTTTCTTACACATTTGTATCAATTCTCTGTATAGCTACACTAATAACAAAAATAAAAATATCTAATATTTATATAGAATTTTAAGGTTTGCAAAATGCTTTGTATACATGGTTTCATTTGTTCCTCACAACAGTTCTGTGAGGTGGGTGCCATTATTATTCCCATCTCACTGATAGGGAAACTGAAGTTGAGAAGTTGAGGGAGATGTCCAGGTCACACAGATATTAAGCTTTTGAGACAGGATTTGAAGTCAGGTCTACTTTACTCCAAGCCATGAACTCTATCCACTATGCCACCTAACTGTCCACCTAAGAGAAATTTGCTACAAAGTATTTCCCCCCTCCCCCACAATTAACCCCTTTTCTCTAGCTGGCACAGTAGACAGAATACCAGAGCTGGAGTCAGGAAGACCTGAGTTCAAAACTAACCTTAGATGGTACTAGCTGTACAAGTCACTTAACATCTGTTTGCTTCAGTTTCCTCATCTATAAAATGGGGACAATAATAGTACCTACCTCCCAGGATTGTTATGAGGATCAATGGAGATAATAATTGAAAAAAGCTTAGCACAGTATCTGGCTCATGGTAACCATTATATAAATGTTAGCTATAATTATAATTATTGTTATTTCTATATGCACTGTTTCTGCAAAATCTTTGTAATCCGTATAACTGAAATTATCCAATTTATCTTCTATATGAAAATCTATCTCTTGCTTAGTTAAAACATTCTTCCCTTAGCCATAATTGTGTAAGCTATTTCCTTCCATTCTCCCCTAAATTTTTTATGATATGACTAGTCATAGTTCAGTCATATAATCATATGGAACTTACGGTGGTATATGGTATAAGATGTTGATCTAAATTTAAATTCTGCCATCTGCTTTCCATTTTCCCCAGCAGTTTTTATTACTAGAGAGGTCTTACCCCAGTAGGTGGTATCTTTGGGTTGACTAAAATTAGGATAACTATGTTTGATTGTTTCCGGATCTTAGCCGATTCCATTGGTCAATTTATAAGTCTGTTAGCCAACACAAAATTGTTTTAATGATTAATGTTTTATAGTAAAATTTCAGATCTGGTAATTCCAGGTAGCCCCCTTGCCCCTATCAGTACTATTTTTTCTTGTTCCTCCAAATGAATTGTTTTATTTTGTCTGATTCTATGAAGTAGCCTGATTGATAAAGTATTAAATCCATAAATTAGTTTAGGTAGTAAAACATCATTTTTGTTATACCACTTTTACCACTCTTTCAATAAGTAAATCATTCCCTCTGATAACCTAAAGGGAAAAATGCATTCCTCAAGCACTTTCAGTTTCTCCTCTAGGATGGAGATCAAATTGTACACATATAAGTAAAACATGGTATAGTCAGAAAATAAACCTAGATTACTCTCTTAAGTTCAATCAATCAATCACCAAGCATTTATTAAACTCTTATTATGTGCCAGGCACTGAGCTAAGGGCTGAGGATACAAAGAGGAAGCAAAAACATTCCTTGCTCCCAAAGGGCTTACATTCTATTGAGAAAGACAACTTGTAAATAACTAAGTACATACAATATATATACAGAGTAGAGGCAAGATGATCTCAGAAGGGAAGGCACTAGCAGCTAGTGAGACAGGAAAAAGCCTCCCACAGAGGTGCTATTAGAATGAAATCTTGAAGGAATCCAGGGATTCTAAGAGATAGAGCTGAAGACGGAAAGCATTCCAGACACAGAAGATGGTCAGTGACGAGGCATGGAGACAACAGAGGGAAGACTGTGTGTGACGAATAGCAAGTTCATTAGTACAGTTCAACTGCAGAATGTATTTAGAGTAAAGGAAGATGGGAAGGGGCTAGATTACGAAGAACTTTGAGTTTATATTTGATCCTAAAGGATCCATTTGAGTCAGACCTGGACTTCAGGCAAATCACTTTGACAGTTATATGGAGGATGGATTGGGAAGGGAAGAGATCTCGGATAGGGAGCCTAGGAGAACGTTACAATCATTTAGGGAAGAGGCGATGAGAACCGGAAGCAGGATGGTGGCCATGGGAATACTGAGATGTGGGAGACATGGATTTGACAACTGATCAGACATATGGGGTGAGTGAGAGTGAGGAGCTGAGGATGGCATGAAGGTTGTAAGTCTGGCTGAATGTCAGGTTGGTGGTGACCTTGAGAGAAATAATGAAAGAAAAGGAGTGAGTTTTTTTGGGGGGTGGAGTAGTGGAGGGAAACACATTGAGTTCTGTTTTGGATGTGTAGAGTTTGAGACTCCTTTGGCATATCCAGTTTAAAAGGTCCAATAGGCAGTTGGTGATGAAGGTCTGGAGCCCAGCAGAGAAATTAGGGCTGGACAATTGGATCTGGTAATCATTGGCATAGAGCAAATGCAGCCAGTGTGAGATAATAAGGCACTAAATGCAGAAATATTGAATAAAAGGGGAAGAGCGTCCAGGATGGAGCCTTTGATGATATCCACTGTTTGTGAAAGTAGCATGAAGATCAAGGAAAAGGGACTGGAATGGAATAAAATGGAATAAAACCAGGAGAACAAAGTCATGAAAACCGTGAAAGAAGAGGGTATTTCAATAAGGGTGAAGGGGTCAATAAGGATGAAGATCAATAAAAGGTCATTTGGTTATGCAATAAAGAGACCATTGGTAACTTTGGAGAGAACATTTCAGTTGAACGATGAGGTCAGAAGTCAGATTGTGGAGGATATAAAATAGAATAGGAGGAGGCAAAGTGGAGGTACAGCATGTACATAATTTTGTCAAGGAGTTTAGCTCATAAGTGAGAAGAAAAATATAGGATGATACCTGGAAGTCATAGTAGTATCTATTTAGGGTTTTTTTAAGGATGGGGAAGATGGGTGTGTTTCTAGGCAGTAGGCAAAGAACCAGTAGATGGGGAAAGACTGAAGTTTAGAGACAGAATGGGGTATGATGGAAGGGAATAGGAATTAAGGAAGGGATAGGATTAAGAATATACACACAGAAAGCTTGGACTTGGCAAAAAGAAGGGTCCCTTCATTATTAGAGACTGGAGTGAAGGAGGACACAGTGGGGAATCATATCACAGATGAGAAGGGACAAAAAAGAATCTCTTGGCAAATGATCTCAATTTTGGGGTGATGTATAAAACAAGTTACTCAGCAGGGAAAGCTGGGGTATGGAGTAGGATGCAAGGCTGAAGTAGAAAAGAAAAGGTTTGGGAAAGTCCCTGTAGTGAGTGAGATATGGAATCAATTAGAAGAATCAAGTAGGAATGCCATTCTTCAGGGAGGGCCCAGTGGGAATTATTAAGTATAACTCTGTAGTGGATCCAAGCCAGCTCAGTCACAATTCTCATTTTCCTTATTTGTTTAAAGCAAATTTCACAGTATTGACCCAGTTTTTGAGTTATCCCTTTTGACTAACTTTTGTGGAAAATGGCCTGTTTGCTGGATATGAGACTCCAGTGTAGACTCCCTCCACTTCCCTGGACGGTCAGCTCTGAAACCAACTGGAATTGTGGCTTAGTTTGTGGTAGATAGAAGCAGACAAGATCCAAGTACACAGGACCCAAGATAAAATCAAATTCTTTAATGATATTGAAACACCTTGTTTTACCTCATTGTTACTCTTCAGAACCTTCCTTCTCCTTTTCTGGACACGAGGCTCAATAATGAAGGAGAAGCTATGGACTAAGTCATTTTCACTGAAGGATAGATCTTCTGATATCTTTTGTAAGACAAGATGGATATAAATATTGGTCTATAGAGAAAGCATGTAGAACGCTACTCCTATGGTTAAAGAAGACAACCATTGATAGGCCAAATAAAATGAGTCATTTTTTATACTTTACTTCAGTCCTTCAAAATAGCCATGATTTCAAGTGTATGGGTACTTCCCTTATCAATGCTAGTATAACCATATCCATATCTTAGTGAATGATTTCATGTATTCTTGCGACCAAAGAAACCCGTCATATTATACCCAACCCTGGGTGCTGAACCACTCTGGTCTGAGCTAGGCTGTTCCTTGGATAACAGACATAGTCTATTCCTGGGCCCACCCTCAAACCCTTTCTCTCAGCAGTTGTGCCTTGCTTACTAAGTACCTTTGTGTTCCCATAAGGTGCTGGAAAAAGGTCTTTGTATCACTAGAATGAAAGTTCTTTTTGGGAATTCTTTTATTTCTTTTGTAATTTCCTGGTACAGTGCTGTATATTATGTATTTAGTTTTTTCTTCACTTACCTCAAAAAGAGCTATGATATCATCCATATGGGTATTTTCTCCAGTAATACAGATTTCAGCCTCTACTAAGTCGTCTTAGCAAATTGTTTCATGATTTGCAGTGACCAAAAAAATGTCATCACTTGGTAGTCAACCTTGTGTGATGAGTTTCTATAAACTTAGCTAGTCTGGTCTATGGAAGAGAGACACAGTCTAATACGGGGCTCATACACAAAAGCCCAGCTTGCTGGACCTCCCAGTACTTGCAGATGAGAAAACTAGGACCTGGGGAGGCTAAGGTCACACAGATAGTAAGTGTCAGAGGCAGAATTTGAATTCAGGTCACCTGAGCCACTATTCTTTCCTCTGTACCATGCTGCCTCCAATGTTCTGCTTGAAAAGTCTTAAAGAACCCAGGGTTATCTTCACATCACAATAGAGTATTGGAGTAGGGTGTGAGTAGATTTAAACATTACCTCAGTAGAAGTGTGGTACTGTATGAAAGTAGCAGAAATGGCGTGGCTGAAGGGGTCACCTGCTTTGGGTGCCATATCTTGCCTAACGAGAAGAGCCAGATCCACCAACTAGAAGGGAATAATGTAGAAAACATATTTAGAAATTGGAGATGACCACTGAAGCTGCAAGATCATCACAAAAAAAAAAAAGACAAGAAGATTCCAATGTGAACACTACCACAGCCTCATTTATCTACTTCCTGAATGTTCATCTCTAAGCTCCATAGAGGCCTAAAAGACATAACATTTCTAGCCTTCTGTGCTCCATAATGTTCCTAATGATCTCAAAGAGCCTCACAAAATTATCCATCCAGTCTCCCAATGCATTCAGTTTTAAAATTTATATTAAAACAGATATATACATATTTTAAATTAAGTAGGCATACATATTTAAATTATTTGCAACATATACCACGTTCTCCGTAAGAGAAAGTGAGCAGTAGAAATATGGGTTCAAAGGAATTAAAATAGTGGTAGTCCATACTTTAAGATTTACAAAGCATTCAATATACCGGTAGTGTAAGTGTTGCTGTCCCCCATGATGAAAAACACTATCCACCTCCAGAGAGGGAACTGATGAACTCTGAGAACATATTGAAACGTACTTTTTTCACTTTCCTTCTTTTTCTTTTTGTCTGTGTTTTCTTTTGCAACATGGATATGTTTCACAAGACCTCACATGTATAATTAATATCAAATTACTTGCCTTTTCAGGGAAGAGGGAGGAGGGAGAGGGAGGGAGAGAATTTGGAACTCAAAATTTTAAAGAATGAATGTTAACATTTTTTACATGAAATTGGGAAATAGTTACTGAAATAAATAAAATATATTTTTAAAAAAGTGTTGGTATCTTAGAGGTGAGAAAATGGAGGCTTAGAAGAGATGAAGCAATTTGCTCAAGGTAACACATTTAGTGAATGGGGTAACAAGGGAATAGAAGCTCCTTGAAGGCAAGGGACAGTTTTTTGTTTTTGTAGCCTATGAATTGGTACGTTTTACATACACTAAATGCTTCATAAATGTTTGTTGCATTAAATTGAATAGATTATACTATATATGGCTGTGACATTAAAGTCCCCTCATAGTTAAGAATCAGTATTCTGGGAAACTGCATTTATATGCAATATATATATATATATATACACATGCTCCAATTGATCAATCAACCATTAAGTATTTATTAGGTGCTTACTAAGTGCCAGACACTGTGCCAGTTATTGAAGACAGAAAGACAAAAACAGAAAGAGTCCTCAACTTCAAGAAGCTTACATTTTATCAAAGAAAAAACTTGGATACATATAAGCACAGATACATATATAGTAAACTGATACAAGAGAATGGGGGGGGCACTAACAGCTAGTAGGATCAAGAAAGGTCTCAAGTAGAAGCTAATGCTTTTGTAGAGCTTTGAATGAAATCAGGGAGTCTAAGAGGCATGGGGGAACAACCTAAACAAAAGTAGAGAGGGAGGCAGGAGGTGAAATACTGGGTGTGAAGAAGAAAAAGGCCAGCTTGGTTGGAGCTTACAAAACTGCTGGGTCCCCTGCTGAAAGATAGTTTCAGATTGCTGAGTCTAGAGGCAGACCACAAAGGTTGGCTTAGATGGTGGCCTCCCCATTCAAGAATATTTTCCACTAGGGGTTTCAGGAAAAGAGGCACTGCTGGTAGAGTTTTTAGTACTTTTGAATTTTTCAACTTCAAAAACAAAGGACCGAATAGATCAAGAGGAATTGGCACAGCTAACCTAGACAGCAATTTGGAACTATGTCCCCATATTTACTACATTATGCATACCGTGTAACTCAGTGATACTAAGATTAGACCTGTATCCCAAAGATATTAAAGAAGGAAGAAAAAAAATTCTGTATTTTTGCCCAAAAAAAATTTAGATCTTTTTGTGATGGCAAAGAACTTGAAATCAAAGGGGTGTCTGTCAATCGGGGAATTGCTGGAGAGAAAAAAAAAACAAAGACAAATACATGATGTATGAATGTAATGACATTAGAAATGATGCAATGACCAGTTTCAGAGGAAGGTGGGAAGACTTGTATGACCTGATGCAGAATGATATGAGAAGAACCAAAGGAAAAATTTATACTATATAACGATGATACTATAAAAACAAGCATCTTTGAAATATTTAGGAATGCTGACAAATACAATGACCAATCATGATTCTAGAGGACAGATGATGAAGAATGCTACTTACCTCCTGAAAGAGAGTTGAGGGGATAAAAGGGCGGAATGAGACACATATTTTTGGATGTGTCCATTGTGGGAATTTGCTTTATCTGACTTTGCATTTATTAAAAGGGTAGGGAGAGAAAATAAAAGCTAGTTAAATTTTTTTTAAATTTTAAAAAAGAATATCTTTTACTACACCACACAGATTATTTCACATACTTCTGTTACAGAAATTTCATCAGTTAGAGATGCTTTGGGTTTAATAAGAAGTCTCTTTAAAGAACTGCAAATGTTCTCGGGCATTTATCAGTCATTTACAAATTAGTGTGTATTCACTTAATCAGAAAGTTCTCCCCTAACATCTGGCTAAGATCACTTGTTTTTTGTTTTTTTTTTTTTTTCTGTTTTGTGGTTTTTTTTTTGGCTTAGGCAGTTGGGGTTAAGTGACTTGCCCAGGGTCACACAGCTAGTAAGTGTCAAGTGTTTGGTTTGAGGCCAGATTTGAACTCAGGTACTCCTGACTTCAGGGCCGGTGCTCTATCCACCTAGCTGCCCCTAAGATCACTTGTTCTGAAGGAATGAGACCCTCGATTGTTGCACATGGGAGAGATTACTGTGCAGCACAAAGTGCTTTACCAAGGGGGATAGAGGTTTGAGGCAAGAGGACACTAGAAATCTGGGGAAGAGAATATTAGGAAAAAAAGAAGGTATAGAAAGGCAGACAGAAGGATGTTGAGAACAAACTTTGACTATTTCTCAGAGTTTAGCTTTATGAAGTGCAACCCCACATGTAACCAACTATACATATTTAGGTTGGGGACTTGCTTCACTCTCAAAAACTTCAAAGTATCTGAAAAAAGGGAAGAAATTATATTAAAGTCAAACAAAACCTGTTTAAATTTTTGTTAAGATGTGTTTAAATTTGTTCCATAAAGTGATATTTGGTATAACTGAGATATTGTTATCACTAAACTCTACCAAAGCAAGTTTGCATCTAACTGAATTTATATGAAGGTAGTTGAAGAAGCATTCAATGCAATTTAGGAATAGTATAGGCTTGAACTTCAAAAATCAAAGAACTAAACAGGTCAAGAGGAATTTAGAATGAATCAATCAATTAACAGGTATTTAAAAAGACCTACCATGTGCCAAATACTTAGTGCTAGACACTGAGTAAACAAAGACAAAAAAAAATTAAATAATCCAGAGCTTACATTCTATGAGGGGGACAATATGTTCATATATAAATATATAAATAATATGTATTATTGTTGTTCAGTTGTTTCAGTTGTGTCTGACTCTTTGTGGCCATTTGGGATTTTCTTGGTACAGATAATGGAGTGGTTTGCCATTTCCTTCTCCAGCTCATTTTTACAGATGAGGAAACTGAGGCAAACAGGCTTAAGTGATTTGCCCAGGGTCACACAGCTAATAACTCTCTGAGGCCAGATTTGAACTCAGGAAGATGAGTCTTCCTGATGTCAGGACTGTTACTCTATACACTGCACCACCTAGTTTCCCCCATTTTATATATTTATATCTACATCCATATCCTTGTAGATACACACACATGTGTGTGTGGGGCAAAAAAAAGCACAAGATAGTTATGGAAACCTCAGAGAAAGAGGGCACTAGCAATTGGGGGATCAGGAAAGGTTTCATAGTAATGGAGCAACTAAGAACTAACTAAATATGTGGGGTAAGGGAGGGTGAGGAGTAAAAGATAACATGAGGATTACAAATCTTGGAGAATGGAAGCATTGTGGTACCTTTCATAGAAATTGGGAAGTTTAGGAGAGAGGTTTTTGGGGAAAGATAGTGAGCCCTGTTCTAGACTTGCTGAGATGAGATGTTTCTAGGACACTGACTTTATCCAAACATCAGTTGGTATTATAGGCTTCAAGCTTGGGGAGAGACTGGTGCTAGGCATATAAATTAGTAAGCAATCTGCATAGATTTGATAGTTAAGCCCATGGAAGCTGATTAAAGTCACTGATAGTCTGTAGAGAGAAGGAAAAGGTCTTGGGACAGGGTCCTGGGGAATACCAACAGTTAAGGGACATGACATTAGATGACGAGTCAGTAAAGGAAACTGAGAAGGAGCAGTAAGACAGATAGGAAGAGAATCAGTAGAAAAGAGTATCATGAAAACCCAGAGAAAAGGAAGCATGAAGAAAGAAGTAGAAAAAGACAATAACATGACTGCAGGTTGGCGAATATGGATAAAGCAATGGTTGGCTCTAATTTCTTTTTTTTTGGCATGTATCCAGGGAAATATAAAGAAGCATTCTTAATGAGGGACCCAGGAATTTTAGGGCATGCGTTAGGAAACATGTGTCGGGTCAAACTAGGGCCCATAGAACAAACATCGCCCAACGCCTATTTTTGTACTATATTTAACTGATGGGCCATACAAAAACAAGGTTGTGGACCAGATTTGGCTTATGGGCCATAGTTTGCTAACCTCTGAGCAGAACCCTCTCTTTAGTGTAATGTGTTGCATGTAATAAGTGCTTAATAAATTATTTTTCATTGATTTATTCACAAAGTATGTAAAGGATTTTAATATAAGCATATAAACATAAAATATTATTATTCTTTAAAAATGTAACAAGTAGTATTATTGCTATTTATTCTCATTTGGTTTCTTTTTGGTTAGTTGTTTCAATGAAGATTTCTATTTTTAATTTTTAAAAATTACTCCTAAATGGGAAACTATGTTCATTTCTTTCAGTCGACTACATCTATAGGAAGTCTAGCTAACTGGACCATGATGCCATAACCAAGCATTCATCCGGTGGTAGTACATACAAATTGTAGGTAAAGTCCCAAGGCAAAAATAAGCAGCCTTAAATTTTGGTTTTGCAAGACCATATCTATAAAGTAAAAGTATCATAGGAATCATCTTAGAAAATGTCAATTTTTATAGATTTTTAAATGAAAACTATATTTAGGATTCAGGTTGCTTAGGTTTCAGTGAGATCATATTTAAGAAGCATTCTGAAAAAAGAGAAAAGGAGGTAGTTAAAAGGATTGGACATAGAAGATTATTTAATACATAGGGAAAGGCAAACAAGAAGCACATTTGAAAACTGAAGAATGGAATGAAAGAGAAAATTTGCGTTATTGAAACAGCAAAATATAATAAAAATCAGGGAAGCAACTAAATACAAATGAATCCAATACCCACAGAGATTGAAGAAGGGATATATATACACATATATATATGTGTGTATATATATATACATATACATATATGTTTTTTTTTATATATATATGCCCTGACTACCACAAGTCAGGTGAGGTAATGATATAGAAGGTAATGATTGCAGAAGGTCTGAAGTCATGTGGCTTTTCATAAGTAGGCATCATTTAGGATTCCTTGGACGAAGGAACAAAGCATGGAATATTATACTGTTCTTAAGTTTTGTTATTAGATTCTAGTCCTCCAGGAGAAATATCATCATGCCTACAAAGTTCCTTTAATACCAACATAACTTTCCTCTCTACCAACATGTTATTAAACTACTGCTTGTTAAGTGAATGATCCCACACTAGACCTGTGGAGTACAAATATGAGAAATGACATTCTTGGCCTCAAGGAGCTTAGAATTTACCTTGGTAAGGTATGTATGGTTAACAAAGGGCTTTTATATGTATTATCTCAACAGATCCTTTTTACAATCTTGTAAGTGGGGAGGCTGAACACATTACCATAAATACCACGAGAGGTGCTCATTATATGCAGAATTAAGTGCTTTTTTTTTTATACTTCTCACCAAGTCATAAAGATTCATTTCTCATGAGGCATCATCTGGTTTTCAGCAAAGGCTCCCTGTAAGTCCCACAGTTTCATAATTGAGAAGACAGACACAGGAGGCAGTCAAGTGGACGGCCTTAGGTCACAATTAAACATAGAAGAATATTGATCAAAAATGATTTCTGGCTTCCAGTGTTGGCTTCACAAATGAAGACTACATCACTTTCATGTTAAAATCTTCCAGGAGTTCTCAATCTTTTTAAATTTTATTATTTTATTTTTTAACATTGATTTTTAAAAATTTTGAGTTCTAGATTCTCTCCCTCTCTCCAGCCCCTTCCCCTTCCATTGGGAAAGCAAGTGATAGCATACCCATTATATATGTGAAGTCATGCAAAATATATTTCTATATTAGCCATGTTACAAAAAACAAAAGACAAAAAACAAAAAACAAAACCCCAAGGGAAAAAAGTGAAAAACAATATGCTTCAACGTGCACTCAGAATTCATTAATTCTCTCTCTGGAGGTAGATGAAATTTTTCATCATGGGTCTTTTGGCATTTTCTTGGATCACTGTATTGATCAGAGTAGCTAAATTTTTCACAGCTGATCATTGTTACAATATTGCTATTATCATGTAAAATGTTTTCATGGTTCTGTTCACTTCACTTTGCATCAGCTCATGTAAGTCTTCCCAGGTTTTTCTGCAACCATTCTGCTCATCATTTCTTATAGCACAATAGTATTCTATTATAATCATATATCACTTATTCAGCCATCCCCCAATTGATGGGCATCCCTTCATTATCTAATTCTTTGCTATCACAAAAAAGGTAATATAAATATCAATCTCTTTTTAGAGATTCATTTTATAAATTAAATTTAAGCTGGGTGTATGTGACCTCACCTCTACTAATATTCCCTCCCTCCGAACCATTTTTATTTCTTTTTTGCAGTAAGATAACATGTAAAAATATGTGGACTGTGTCAAGTTTTAACAAAAGGTTATAGAGTTCTTAGAAATTACATTACTTCATCCATGGGGCTTTACGCTGGAAGACCTGTTCAAGTTTTTCCTTAGATCCACAGAAATGGAAATATATTGACTTACCTGGGCCACGGTCTCATATGCTAAATAGGCCAAAATCTCCATGGCAATAACATTTGGTTTGATCTCCATACTGCTACAATCCAGCCAGTCTCGGAACTTGGAAGCTTTTTTGGCTGCTCAATAAAAATAGTAAAACACAGAATTTAACTTTTAATGACTCAGTATTACACACCAACTTCAACACTGAAAAACAAGTACTTTGCTTGAGAATTTCATATGGAATGATGTAATGATTATGAAACTTAGTGTTTTGGACATCAGTCAACATGCAGAGACTCTGATCCCAAGGAGCCCATATTTGGCCATATTATGTCAGAGGGCAACATGCTTGTTAAGAAATTTATTAGTACTCATCTTTTTGGGTCTTGTGATATGTAGCCTCAGTTTCATTACAGATACTATTTGGCAGCTAATGTGGCTTACTAAACTATGTACATTTGTGCACCCTGTATATTACTTCAGTGTAAATGATAACTAGTCATATTTGTTCCTTCATTCAACATTCAATTCGGTGGGAAAGAATCTGTGGTAGAAGAGAGGGCATTTCAGAGCAGGAAATGTTGTGAGAATCTTCAAAATGTCTAAATTAGAGCTCATTTACTCTTTCTATAGGACAAAGTCCAAACTCTTCACTTTGGCGTTCAAAATTATCTAAAATTTTTTTCTAGCTGACTTTTCTAATTTGGTTATTCACTATTTCCCGACTAAGTCAAAAGTACAAGTCTATCTGCTTCATATACTTGTCTCTTTTTGTTAATATTCTTCCCTCTTCCAGTCCCCATTTAGAAGGTTCCCTACAACTTCCTTGCTTCATCTGAATCTTACCCATTATTATGGACCCAGGTAGAGTTTCCTCTCCTTGTCCTCTCAAGCTCTCTGTGTTCCTTGCCAACTCCAAATCTCTAGAGCATCCCTTGTCTAAGACACTAATTTGGTACGGAATATAAAACACACTGCACTGATAGTCAGTGAGATTTTAAACTTGTTGAGAATTATGCCATAACATGCCTTTTTTGCATCTCCTTCAATACCTTACAGAGTCTCTTGAACATCCTGGGTGCTCAATACACACTGGTTGAAGACTGTTTCATCTGCACGTGGCTTTCTATGCCGAGACTATAAATTTCTCTCATGTTAGACTGCATTTATTTTCATAAGGTTATATTCCCAAACCACTATTAGTTTGATTACGATTTTAAATAGTGAACTAGAAGAAAACTGCTTAATACTAAAGACATTACTGCATCCATGAGATAACGATTTCTAAAAAAGAAAAAATCCATTGCTTACTTTTCTGGTCCATAAAATATAAAACTATAATTCAAAATGTGGGACTTTGATCCCTAGAGAATCTTTATGGATTCCATGTAGGACACAGTTTTCATTTAAATAAATCACAGAAGACATTAAGTCTTACTACAGAAGTAAGCATCCAAAGCTGACAAGCATGGTAGAAATTATTATAATTCCTTTTAAAGCTATCTCCCTAAAGTCACCAATCATCTGGATACTTCCTGACATACAGCCATTCCATTTAGTCAGTATGCTGCAACTGCTCATGAACACTTGTTTAACATCTGTGGAATACTTTTGAACTTAGATCTAACAGGCATCAATTGCCTCAGTCAGTAAAATGCACTGAAGAAACTTTTTTCCCTGACTGATGGCAGTAATATAACAACAGGCATTATGTGACAGTCCTCCAGAAAGTTTGTTGTAGGAGGGTGTGGGTGGGGAGGTATAGGAATTGGTCAAGCATTCAATCAAATTCACCTGAGTTACGGAATTAATAAGTCAAAAATTTTCTTCTTTAATAACAGGATGGAGATATACAACCTTGGTCATTTTTGTCTTTCCTATATCATTCTAATTTTTATAGGACTTAGCTCTTGTGGAAAGTGAGACACATTGGAGATAAAGACAAATGAAAATGAAAGGTGGGGTAGCTAGGTGGTGCAGTGCATAGAGCATCGGCCCTGGAGTCATGAGGATCTGAGTTCAAATCTGGCCTCAGACACTTGACACTTACTAGCTGTGTGACCCTGGGCAAGTCACGAACCCCATTGCCTACCCCTCCCCCCAAAAAAGGAAGAAAGTGAAGGGATGTATATAGAGTGGCTCTCTAGAAGGGGAAGGGAGAAGAAAACAAGGAAATTTAGTTAATGAGAAAAGATATCAACGAGTTTTTTTTAAGAGTGAAGGAATATAAATAAAGTAGGTACTGCATGGGTGATTGGAATGGTGAATGGGATGGGGAACCTTTCAATTCTAAGTATGAACTTAGTTTTGTGTTACTTGCAAGTTCATTTGGTCTCTCTCAATCCACTCTTGAAACCACCACTAGTGTCCCTCAGTGCCTGATGCCTAGACTAGCTACCTCCTTCTTTCACCAGTGAGTTCCTTCTAGGGCTTCCATTTTGGCGATGGGCCCAGGCTGGTCATATTTCATTCCCCACCCCACCCTCCAGCTGTGCTGCTGATTCTATAGATTTTGTCATCATGCTCCAGCCAAATGACCCCTGCTTTTCAGTTCCTTTTTACGTGTTGCTTTCCCCCTTCAGAGGGTAAGCTCTTTGAGGGCAAGGACTGTCTTGCTTTTGATTTTATGCTTCTCCAGTGCTTAGCACATTGCCTGGCACACAATAAGAGCTTAATAAATCATTGTTGCCTATTGCCTCTTTGCTTGACAAGAAACACCTTTCTTATGCAAACATCACGCCATTCATCTACTCAAAATTCTTCCAGAGCTCTTTGATGACTTCAAGTGAAGTCCAACTTCCACTGGCATGACATTTAAGATCCTTTGTACACTGGTGTTATGCTGCATTCCCAGATTTATTTCATGTAACTTCCCTCCATGAACTCCATACTTCAGTCAAGCTACATCAATCTTTGTCCTCTGAACATGTGCTGTATTTTCTTCCTAATCTTGTTCATTATTTCTGGAATACCTTGCTTCTTCATCTTCACTGAATTCAAATGTCACTTCCTCCCCAGTTGGCAATGACTTGATTCAGACATTACATGATACTTTGATTAGAAACTCCTTAATATACAATTATACACAATATTTCATATTATACTTATCTGTATTTGTGTCTTATCTCACTACTACACTGTAAGATCCAAGAAGGCTGTCTTCTCAAGACTTTGTATTGGGTATTTAATATCTGATGAATGAATGAATACATATGGATGAACCTTGCTAGCTGTGCAACAGTGTATAGATTAAAGTAATTACAAATAATTCTCTCAAACATCTTATTGAACAGACTAAACCTGGTCCCCACAAAATTTTTATCACAATCACTAATAAGACCAATTTGATTGGTTGGGGTTTGTTCTCCCTTCCTACAGTTAACTCACCTTTGTCTAAAACTCTGTTCAAGGCACACAATCCACAAGGTACTATTAACCTGTTTCTACATGACTCCTGTCATTCTAATATTCCTTCTACATCATTACCCTCACCTGACTACTTTATAATCCATTCCTTCCTCTTCTCCTGGTATGTCTTTCTTTTCTTTTTTTGAAAATTTATGCCAGTCACTTTCTTAAAGCCCCATCTATGTACCTAGACTTTAAAAGAATGGATGTTAATAATGGGTGATCCCATAGCCTGAGACTCCAAAAGGGAAATCAAGCTCAACAGGAATGGGAGGCCCTCAAGAATGAAATTCTGGTGACAATGCTGAAATAGATTCCAATAAAGAAGAAAAGATAGCTTCTAAAAAGACTGAAGTTTTATGGGACCCTTAATAAGAAACTTAGGTTTTTAAAGGCTATGTATAAGAGACAGAAGTGAGGACAAGTAATTGAGGATGAATATAAAAGAACACTGTCAGGAAAGCGGCAGCCCATTATGAACAATAATAGTAATAAATGCTAAGGAAATAAAAAAGGGATTTCTACACTGGGGGCAATAGGAATATAAATGAAAGGACAGCATATCCCTGCTCTGACTGGACAGGAAGATGATAATAGACAATGGAATTACTGAACTTTTATTTTATTTCTGTTTTCTCTATCAAAGAGGATAATCTTCTAACTGGGAAGGATAGACTAGATTTGAACAACAGGAAATCAAAGGTGCACTTCATCTCTTGTGGTTTTAGGCAATACTCAGTTTTGGGCAATTTTTTCTAGGTTGTTATTCTCTTATCTTTTGCCTTCTAAAGCATCATAATTCCAAGCTCTCCACTCCTATGAAATGATAGCTGCTAAATCTTGTGTGATCTTGATAGTATGGCTCTTTGGTACTTAAATTAGTCCTTTCTGGCTGCCTGTGACCTGGAAACTATAGATGTTGGTCATAAAAATCTTGGGAGTTTTCTTTTGGGGGTTCTTTAAGTAGGTGACTAGTAGATTATTTCTATTTCTACTTGGCCCTCTGGTTCTAAGAGATCTGGGCAGTTTTATGATTCTATGATTTCTATGTTTTTTGGGGGGGGGGCAGGGGGCATGGCTTTCAGGTAGTCTAATGATTATTAAGTTATCTTTCCCTTATCTGTTTTCTAGATCAGCTGTTTTTGCTGTTATATACTTAACACTTTCTTCGATTTTTTTTTTCAGTCTTTTGACTTTGTTTCTAACATTTCTTGTTGTCCCATGGAGTCATTAGCTTCTGTTTGGTCAATTCTATGTTGTTTAGGGAAGCATTTTTTCCTTGGGTAAGGTGTTTTATTTCTCATTACATGCCATTAACAGTCTTTCCAACACTTTTTTTTCCTATAGCCCTCATTTTTTTCTCCATTTCCCCCTCTAGTGTTCTTATTTGTTTAAAATAATTTTTACCTCTAATAAAAATGTCTGATTGATCTCTTCCAAGAATTCTAATTGAACTTGTATCCAAGCTATATTTTTCTTTGAGGCTTTGCTTGTAGATGTTTTGGTGCTATTCTCTTCTTCTGGGTTTGTATCTTAAATATCTTGCTGACAAAATGGTTCTTTATGGTACAATTCTTTGTTTAGTTGGTTGCTTGTTTGCTCATTTTTCCAGTCTATTTCAAGATATCAGACTTTATGTTAAGGCTTTATGTTAGATATGGGGGATATCTGAGATAAGATTTTGTTATTTTGGATACTTCTGTTGCTTTTTTAGGATATTGAGTGT